ATCTCTTAGCTCTTTATTAATGATCAAATTACACGAGCGTCTACGGCCTATGCTATCCAATAATCCTTTTTCTTGATATGTGGCTAGTAATGCCTTTCCTTCATTAGCACTTGTAAGTAGATCTAACAGTTCCTAAATAAGTAAAAAAAATATTACTATTTAGTATTCTTATAATTTGTAACGTCACAGAATTTTAGGCCTTACTTAATATTATTATAGTTCCCCTGAGCATATTATTTTTCATTATTATTATTACTTATGATTACATTATGATATTATTATATTTATCGCGCGCCAATGCATGAATGACCACAATGTTACATAATATCTGACCCCGGCCCCCACAACCCGCAGTGTCCGCCCGCCGACAGACCGCTGCCGATGCCGGTCGTCACCGCCGGTCACAGCTGTCGCGTCCGTCGATACGCACCGACAAAGCAGTCTGTTTTCCCAATTATTATTGTAAACGTCCCTATAATGCGACACTGACCTTCCCCACCACGTCAACATCAACGACCACGACCAGCGGCAAGACAACATCGGCCGTCTTTTTCACATTTTCCGAGACCGCTGAACGAACCAGACGTTTTGGTACCGTGACGCATCCCGAACTTTTTCAACAACGACCACAACCGCGTGTCGACCACCATCACTTCGCGTGTGACTATTATTATTATTTTTCACCGACGGGAACCAACCGCCATGATGGGCTAAGTACCGCTCACGGGCCCGATGGTGGGCAAAGCTGCTGAACCAGTCAACCTCCGTGTCGCCGTCACCATCCTAGGCGGTTGATCGACCACAAGATGGGCCATGCCGGCCGCGTGTGTGCCGGTGGTATTAACCAGCCCATCCAGTTCCTCGTTCAACAACACATCTCAACGTCGTCAGAGTAATATCTACAAAATTTTCCCCCCACATGTCCCTAACCAATAATTGTAAATGTTGCAATTTATGTTCTTATTATATTATTTTCCATGAATGCAGGCGGTAACCCTATGGTCGCCCGATTATTATAACATTTATTATACTCACCAGAGGTAGGCGGACCTCGTGGGCCGACCTGCGTTTATGTATTTAATTCCCTATATTATTATTCAAAAATCATTATTTATTATAATGTGAATACTATTCTTTTTCTATCTGCTAATGTGTTGTGCCAAATATTATTATTCTTTTTAAAACAAACTGTTCTTATTATTTATGATACTTTTTCCCCCAAAATAAATCTTGGACTTTCATTAGCCCATGCGTGTAACAAAGCCTGTGAGCTCCACCGACTTGACCCTCGGGTCTCACGCGGTGCGGCTCACAGGTCACGACAAGAGTGTTCCCCTTTGGTCGTGGGTAGTTTTTGGCAGAGTAAAATCTACCAAACTCTTACAAATTGTATAAGAAATATATCTAGTGTTTATAACACTTAATGTATGCATAATCAATTTTAATATTTAGAACATTTTAAATTGGTTTTTAATTAATTAAATTCTTTTTTTAATATTTCTGTATAGTAGGTGTTAACCGTAAAATCTACATATTGTTGTAATTATTAAGATTTTTATCAATGAAACTAAACAATTAGGTTAGGTTAGATAAAAAAAATATTAATATTTAGTATTCATATAAATCCTGGTAAAAATATATAGTTCTCAATTAGGTACGTGCTCAAAAGTTATAATAATGAAATCATTCTAGTACAAAACATCATATTAAGTACTAACCCTTTAATATAAATTGATTAATTTTGATAATATATATGTTATAAAGTATGTCAGTTTTGGAAATGTGTGGGTCCCGTAAACAAAGAAGCCCTTTAAGAATTTCTTTAGCGTTATGTTAACATGATATTATTGACTAATATGTATATTATATTATATTTTATTATTTTAGTATCTATATTTTTTTTTTTTTTTCCCGGCTTTACGATCCATTGAGGATCTTTACCGCCAAAACTATCTCCTCCCATTTCTCTCTATCTTGCGCTATGATTTGCCAATTCGTCCTAAATTCTTGGCCTACCGCATTCCATATGTCATTTACGCTGTCTATCCATCTTCTTCGGGGTCTTCCCCTTGGTCTTTTCCCTGTTTGCGTCCAAGTCATTATTTCTTTTTTCAGGCATCCTTCCGCACGCCACGCATGTCCAGCCCATTGCATTCTTATACTTTTAACGTATTGTACAATATTTTCTATTTTGTATAGGTTCTCTAGTTGTGCATTCGATCTTAATTCCCATTGTTGGGTTTCGGTATTAAATACTGGACCATGTATTTTTCTTAAGATTTTCCTTTCAAATCTACTTAGTATCTATATTTAATATTATAATAATTATGCTCCTTTATGATGTTACCCATAATACTTGTAAAGTAAATAATACTCAACTGTAGTTGCATATGACCTTTGCGAATCACTTGTTTCACCAATTTCATTATTTTTAAAATCTCTAACATGTTTGGTTCCTTCCACCTGCAGACTACTGGATGAAGTTGAAGCTGTTAAATCCGGAATTGTATCCTAAAATTAGAACATGTTTTTAAATAGGGCTGACTAACATATACTCCCAAACCACTGAATAAAAACTCACAATTAATGTACAAGGAGTATACTGATGGTTTTCGGTGTAATTACTAGTTCCATGTTCTGATAACTCGAGAAGTATACTTCCAATATTTTCTGGGGGTTCAATATCAAGTGTGTTAACCTTAAATAAAAATGTAATTCTTCCAACTATGAATAACTAGAATTTTAAACAATTAAAATTGATAGTTAAAAAAACATCCATACTAAATCAGATGTCCCCTGTACTATGGTTTTCCATTCTCGTAAATTTGAAACTAAACGGGTTCTGTGTCCAACAATCGGGATTAATTCTTTAATCATGTCATCCGTCAATAATAGCAATGCTTTCATATCAATGTCATTTTCTAAGAATACATGAAGTAAATATGTAGTATATCATCTATATTTAATAGTTGAAAATAAGGTACAACTTTCTTGTATTTTTATTTTATTTAAAAAGATTTTCTAATATTTCTTATAGTAATAGCATTATGGCATTATAAAATAGCAATTCAAACAACAAAAATGTTTAGGTAATAGTAGGTACCTACACGGAAAAAACTATTAAGGTCGATTCACACTATACGGAACGTCAACGTCACGTCACAGACCGGCAACGTCACGTCAAAATATGTTGTCATCTATAAATACGACAGTGTTTACACTTTACATTGACCGGCACCATCGCGTACCGTCAAAGGCACGGAACGTCAACGTTTATCGAAAACTTTTGTTTGACGTATCGGTGCCTGTTCGTTCTTGTCCGTTAGAATAGTGTGAATGCATGAACGTTCCGTCCACGTCAAATATTTATTTATTTAGCGTTGTTTGAGCACGTCACATACAATACCTATTATAATGTATTATTATAATATTTTATACTATATATTATATTTTAATTCATAATATCTACTTGATATGGATGATGAACTTTTAATTGAAGAAGTTTGCCAATATGAAGAAATGTACAACATGGCGCACAAAAAATACAGCGATAATCAGCACAAAGATTTAATATGGGCAAAAATCGGAGAGAAATTAAAAATATCAGTTATATGTACATTTTAATTTGAATATCAATTTTATTTATTGTCATATCATTAAGTATTAATAAGTCAGAAATCAAAACATATTATAAATTACAATTTATAAAATAAAAATGTACTTTAAATGAAAATGTATATAAATGTATAAATATTTTTATATATTATATTATTATTTACACAAATTTTTCCATTTGCCACGACAATGATTCATTCTCCGAATTAAAAAATTGTTTGTATGTATCACGTACAAGAAAGGCTGAGTTGTGGGCATTTCCTCCTTGCCGTGGTAAATTTCCCCAGTTAGGTTCAATTTCGACAGGGTCTAAATGTTGAACCATCAAATCGTTTTCTTTTATGTAATTATGTAAAATACACGTCGTTAAAATAACATTATCTACATTTTCGGGCAATAAATTTATACTTCTGAAATAAATTCGAAATTTTTGTACCAAATGTCCAAATGCATTTTCCGATACTCGGCGAGCTCTTGACAGTCTGTAATTAAATATTTGTTTTTCTATATCTCCATAGAACCGTAGAACCAGGGAAAGGTCTAAGAAGATATGTCTTCAACGGAAATGCCTCATCTCCAACAATTACATGAGGCACTGAACATTGAGTTCCTGGAAGGTTTTTTCTTTTGGTACATTAAACTTTCCCATTTCTAGAGCTTTTCCAAAATTTGAATTTGCAAAAATTCCACCGTCGCTGTTCTTTCCGTAAGAACCTACATCTACGGCAATAAATTTACAATTTGCGTCTACCAATGCCAACAAAACAATTGAAAATGTACGTTTATAATTGAAAAATTGTGAACCACTATTTGGAGGCGCAAAAATTTCCACATGTTTGCCGTCTAGTGCCCCCAAACAATTAGGAAAATTCCATTTATTCCAAAAGTCATCTCCAATTTTTTCCCAGTCTTGTACACTTGGTGGTGGCATCACTTCTAATAATAACTTATCTATTATAGACTCACAAACATCTTTAACTATACTATGAACGGTAGAATGTCCCAAACGAAAACTGAACGCGATGGTCTGAAATGAGTCACCAGTTGCTAAAAATCTATAATAAACAAATATTTTCGAATGAAAATTAAATTAAATTTTTATACAAAAATTAAATATTTAAGAATAAATTAACTGTATGTTTTTAGTTCTGGAATTAAATATATACAATAATTATCTAAATCAAAATTTGCTGGGTTCTTAATTAGATAAATTCTATTTTTTTTTTTATAAGTACAGCAATGTAAAATGCCATTTTATTTACAGGTCCAGTATGTAAAAGTCGATGGGTATCACTTAGAGATCAACTCAGAAAGGCATTAAAAAATAAAAAAACAAAAAGTGGACAAGCAGCTGTCGTACAAAAAAATGGAAGTATGAGGATTCTATGAATTTTTTAATTCCATTTTTTAAAGAACGTGAAACACATTCCAACATTGCACCTCCTAATGGTGTTGGTGTAAGTGAAGAGTCAAACGGCGAAGACATTTCCCAGGTGAATAATGAGGAATCGGAAATTGAAATTGGACATGAAATTACTCAAAAACGCCGCAGCATGAAACAAACAAAAGTATTTCCAAAAAAGAAGAACAAAACAGAAACTGCATCATCTGTTTTGATGCAATATTTATTAGATAGCGAAAATAATGAGTCAAAGGAAACCACTCATGCACATCCAATAGACTCATTTTTCCATGGTCTGGCTGCTACAGTCAAAACAACCTCACCAGAATATCAATTCATGGCAAAAAGCAAACTGTTTAGTATAGTATCTGATTTAGAGTGGGAACAATTACAAAATAATCAAATGACACCATCAACAAATTATTTAACATCAGACTTGGGTTCTAATTCATCCACAACGTCAGTGACCGGATCACAAAATAGTCTTTCATATTACGGCAATAGACTAAGGACACCACTAAACAACTCATCATCACTATACGTTCAGACACCAACTCCATCTCCTTTTTCTGAACTAGCTACATCACCACCTCAGTCTACTCAACATGGAATAATAAATAACCAAAGGCAACAATCAACAGGTTTTTTAACATCGACGTCATTGCAGGGAAACCAAAATAGTCTACCATATGACAATAGAATGAGGACACCACTATACAACTCATCATCACTATACGTTCAGACATCAACTCCATCTCCTATTTCTGAAGGAGCCACATCACCACCGCAATCTGCTCAAAAATATTATGAAAACTTTCAGTGAATAATTAAAAAAAAAAGATTAAAAATGTTTTTTTTAAATATTGTAAGCAACAAGAATTTAACAAAATTAAATATGCTCATTAAGTAATAAATAATAAATAAACAAGTATAGTGTACTTTATAAGTATATTTATTATAATATTTACCTTAAACAAACCATTAACTTTTCCTTAGCACTTATAGATTCTCGAAATGGTGTATTTTGTTTCGTAATTTGACGCTCAATTTTAGATAACAGAATATAAAATTGATCTTGAGACATTCTGAAGTATTTGTAGAATGATGTTTCTTCTTCACTCAAATCATTGAACAGTGTGTGATACTCCCCAAATTGTTTTCTTTTCCTTAACATTTCTCGTATCCATATCCTTTTACGTCGGTTTCTGTTCTCTTCTTCCTCGTCTAAAATGATTGCAATTAATGCCAATTTTTTATTGCTACATTTTGGCATAATGAAGTAATAATATAATAAATTAAATTTTCATTAAAAATAACTAAATATACAAGTAAAAACACGGAGCAGTGAGCAAGTTTATCACGTCGCTTCGGTAATATTCCCGTGGCGATTATGCGTTTTTAACGTTTGGGTGTGAATGGCTGATATATTTGACGTGACGTTGACGTTCCGTATAGTGTGAATCGACCTTTATATTTTTTTTTTATACATTTTATTCTTCAAGAAGATAATGAACATGTTTGTGTCGGGGCCCATGAGTTCACAATTTGAAATATAAATTCAATAAATAGATAGTTAATATAAATTAAATAATTACAATTTGTAATACCTAACATTTCTCACCTCGTTTCTCACACAACTAAAATATCAATATAAATAAATACAAATTTTTTTCTTGGTTTATTATATAGGTACCTAATACAATACATATTATAATGTAGTATTATGTAAAAAATTGTGTAGGTATAATGTTAGGTATACGAGTATACTAATAAGTAATAACTTATTAGACCCAATATCAATTAGACTAATAAATAATTAGACTTAATATCAAATAAGTTTAGTTCAATCAAATTAAGAATTTAAAATTGTTTAAAAGAACGAGATATAAATTGATTTATAAATGAGAATAGATGCTATTAGGTTTGTTATCAAAAAACCGAACATTTTCTCCTTTTGAAAACACTAAGACATTGTTTTAGCAATAGGATAAATTATACTTTGTAGTTTGTAGGTATAATATGTTATATAAGTATTTACTACTTTATTATTAGTTGTTCTAATTGTAAGACAAATATTTTATTGTATTTATGTATCGAAATAATAATTGTAATGATCCTAAACATCTGGATACAGAATTTGATAATGATGTTTTTAATAATCGTCCAGAATTGGTTTTTGGTTTGATATTTCCAATGGTAAATTGTAGGCCTCGTATTAGTGGTATAACCATTGATAACGTCGGATATTTTTCGCCAGACAATACTGTTGTCATGCTTTCGAATGATGGTTTTAAAAGTGGTATACAGTCTTCTATAAGTTCCCATTCTAAGGCAGTCAAACCGTTTGGTGCACGTGGAAGGGAAGTAATAGCAGCGGACAAAGGAGCCTTAATTTGAAGAAGTCTTTCCATCAAGATTAATTTGGAGTTCCATCTCGTAGACACATCTCGTTTGACTTTTAACTGAGGCAGACCCATTTGGTTTTGGTACATTTTTAATTTTTCAGTAGCAGAAGTGCTGTGTTTAAAATGTCCAACAATTGTTTTACATGTTTGTATTACCTGACTTAGTTCATTATTATTGTTTATGGCTTCAATTACACTTAAATTTAGTGCATGTGCCACACAAGGTTGGTGATGTTTTTTAAGGTGTTGGTTAATTGCATTTTTAATATTTGCTCCATTGTCGGATACTATAGTGACAATTTTATTACCTATTTCCCATTCATTAAAAATGAGTCTAAGTGAAGCAGCAATATTCTCCCCAGTATGTGAATCATGCACTTCCCTTGTTGCAAGAACTGGTGAGTATAAAATATCATCGAATATGAAATGACATGTAACTGTAATATAGGCCTTATTAGAGTCAGATGTCCACATATCTGTAGTAACTGATACATTGAGAACAGTTTTTAACATGCCTTTTAATTTTGAAACTATAACGTTATATTCAATAGGTAATAGTTTTGTCGATAACAACTTTCTACTTGGAGGAGTATATAGTGGCTGTAAAATGTTTGTATATTCTTTAAATCCAATATTTTCTACGATTGATAGAGGTTGGTAATCAGAAACGATAATTTTTATTAACGCCTTATCCATTGATTTATTGTCAGCGTCACTAAGTTCATTTTTTTTTCCGAACCATATAGCCTAAGTTGGCGTTGACGTTTTACAGGAGGCTCTAAAGGAGGTTCTGGTGTTGTTAAATCGTTATTAGGTAAAGAAGAAGAGATTGATGAAGTTGACGGGCCCGTTAAATTGGTTACAGTTAGTAATTCGGAATCTGGATCATCCTCATTTATGAATGCCATATTTAAAGTTAATGGATGTTTTCTTTTCAAATGATCTATATAATATAGATCAATTAAAAACATATTGTTACGAAAAGTAGGTATTGCGTATTTTTAATGTCGAGATTAAAATTAAAGAGTTTTAATACATTTTAAAAAAGTAATGAATTTTAGATTTTGAGCAAAGCATAAAATTGGTCAATTTGAAAATTTATGAAGTTAATTAGGAATAAATCTCCAAGAATTCTTGATAATTAATAATTTAATAATTGATAAAATAAAATGATTTTATAAATTAATTTGACATTTGCATATTAAATAATATTGTAAATGTTTACCTAATTTAGTTTAATTTAAATCTAGTATTAAATTAAAACTCTTTAAATCAAATTACGAACAACAATATAATATCTTAAAACGTATATACATTTATGTTACCTTTGAAGTTCGTTGTATTTCCATAATACTTAAAATCTTTTTTGCATTTTTGGCAAACAGCATATTTGTTATCTACACTTTTCTTAAAATGATCCCAGACTACAGAACGCTGCCTACTACCAGGTCGCATTTTTAAAAAAAACAAGTAGAAACTGGTGCGAAAAAACAATGCGAAAACCTGCAGAGAACATAGGGAACTTGCTATATAGATAATATTTTAAATTAAAAAAACCAAAAAATAGTATTTATCGAAATTAATTTTATTAGATACTTACCTACTAAGAATGTGATATGCAATACAATGCAATAAAAATAGAAGAATATTGAAAGGTATACCTATTATATAAACTATATTATATTATTATATTAGTTAAAGTAAAAAATGTAAATTATACAATGCATAAAATAAACTAGCAACTGTCACGTGCACATCAGACCACAAGAAGGAGAGAAATGAAAAAGGCAGGTAAGTGGATGTCGCTCAGCTGTACAGTAGGTTACAAGTTGGTCATTGTTTAATGGATTGTATTAAACTTGAATTCAATGATATAATATCATTGTATAAGAAAAACGATTCTGAACGGAGACGGTTTGTCAGTCTGTATATTTTATATTGTCAATAATTATTATTAATTTTATACTATTTCCTACCATGAACCTAATCACCCGCGGTTCTATGATAAGTCGGTACTGACTCATAAGTTAATGATACATGTTAATAATTTATGATATTTTTATAGATAATACCTACCTATTTTTTTTTATTCGTTGCTACGGTGATAAACAAATTGTTAGAAATTAAAATCCCATTTTAAGCGGTTTTTCAGTACTTTTTCCCGTGGCATTAAATAACTATTGAGAAAATCGAAAAATGACCTCTCTAAAGTACCATCTTGGTCCAATTTGCTAAAAGATAAGGTACTATATGTTGAAATCAAAGCACTCCTTCTGGTAGAAATTTTGTATACAGGATAAAAAAATAAAAAAATAAAAAATAAACACCATTGTAAAACCACTAGCTTCCTTGCTCCGCTCAGAATCTAAAATGAAAATAAAAATAAATAATTAATATCCACAATCTAAATAATAGATATTATATATAGAATCTTCAATCTACATAATATTATTATTTCGTTATTCAATGCGTATATTATATTATTATTAATATAAACGTGTGTGGTGTGTAGTGTACCCATGTCCCATACCCCCATATATTATATTTTATGGAATACCTATATTTAATATTTATAGACTATAAATATAAATTAATGATTTATTAATAAATATTATAGTGTATTAGTGTGTAATTTGTATAAACTATAAATAATATAACGAATAACGATATACCAATATGTTAGTATGAACTATGAAGTATGAGTATCAATATGACGTAATATGTTAGTTCTACTATTTACAGTTAATAGTTAATAGTGTTAATACTCTAATGGCTAATACATGTTATGTTTCATTTCGAGAGATTTTATGTTTTAGACATTGGTCGATTTTATTTCGAAAGAATCACTCGCGAGTAATTTTAATCAATCGATTATTTAAGTTGATTTCGATACCGAGAGAATCACTCGAGAATTTTCAAAACAATCGAAATAATCGATTAAAACTAACAATCGAGTATTTCGAGTAATTTCTCTCGATTATTCCCACCACTAGTTCAGACCCACCTGCGGAGGCCGGTGGTCTGTGATTGGTAGGTAGGGATGGCAACGATATATCGATTAATCGAAAACATCGATTGTTGTAGTCGATGTATCGATGTTTTTTATGTCGTCAGTGACTTTGGATTTTTATTGGTCCATCGAAAATTAACGTCGATGTATCGGAGTAACTATAATTTTTTATACATTTTTATGATAATATTTATATTTTAAAAAAATTCTACCGCCAAATTAGTGGTTTGGTTTGGTTAATAAATAACAATTGATAAATAATATTTATTTACATATCATAATTATTATTATTGTATCTCACCATAGATATATCTATGCATACCACAGTTATGGTTTGTCCATTTAGGTATATGAACCATGGTTAATAGTAATTAATATAAATTAATAACAAGCGATGCTCTTGAGTTTTGAGGTTATTATGCATTCCGGTATTCACGATTTGCCGTATGTGTCCCACTCGACCCACTCTGGCCACTCTCGTCACTCACACGGCGTATTAGTAAACTGTACACGAGTACACGACATACGTTTGTCATTGTTTTGTCAACCATATTGTGTTATACTTATACTTAACTTAAATCATGCCAAAATAAGTCTACTGTGGCGGCACTTTGATAAAATCAATAGAACGTCGGCCACTTGCAAACATTGTGGTACCTAATACTTTTAAAACTGGAGGTAATACCACAAACTTGCGTCAACACCTGGTAAATGTTCATAATCTAAAACTAGACGGTAAGAGTAAGTTGTAGTTATAACGAGAAGAAGCGGTTCATGTTGACGATCCAGAGGATGTAAGTAAAATATTTGAATTTTACGTTACTTACTTCATGTAATGTTATTGTATTATATCCATTGATATATTTATTAAACATTTTTATTTGTATAAACACATCTGTCTCTCTATAATAGTCAGTAAATACACCTGATGTGGAAGAAACATGTCTAAAACGTAAAAGATTTAATAAGCAGCTGTTAATTAAAGATAGTTTGGCATTCTGTTCATCTATGACAAGTAAGCATTCAAGATATAACCATACATACCTAATAGTACATTGATTTGTATAATTTTGTTTTTAAAGGTGGCTCAAAGTCTGGTGAAATTACAAATGCTCTAGTGTATTATATAGCGAAAGATAACAAACCCTTTTCAACTGTAGACAACTGTGGGTTTAAGCGGGAATTTGTCCTTTATATAAGATACCTCCAAGAAACACTATAAAAAATAAAATTGATGAAAAATATAAGTGCTCATCAACAAAGTTTAAGGAAAAACTAAACCAGGCTAAAAATTTTACTTTAACAACTGATATTTGGTCTGATTTATCCATGAAAAGTTATTTAGGTGTTTCGATACACTTCTTAGAGGGAATACAATTTGTTTCGGGTACTATATTTTCTACATATTATTACATAATATTTAGTACTAAAAAAGTAAATTTACAACATACTAAGTGAAGTATTGATTTTTTTAGGTACATTGGGAGTATAGTCATAGGCGTGCGCAGACTCTAAAAGTAGGTAGTGCCCATATATTTATCATCGGCCCTCTAGCCAACAATGTTATAAATACAACACTTCTAAATTTTATAAACCTATTTAATATTAATTATTAACACAAGTGACACATGCTATAATGTCTTATATATTTTCTTACATAAGTAAATAGTTTGATTTAATATAATATTATATAGGTAATAATAATAATAATAATAATAATAATATTAGTAACAAATATAATAGTTATGAATTTATAGAGTTATACAGTAATTTATACAGTTATAGAGACATTCGTCTGTTACCCATACTATTGAATTCATCTATTACTGCATTTAAATCTACCTTCGATAACATTTCTTGTTCTGTGAAAAGCAGTAATAATGACTCCAAACGTTCTTGACCCATTGTACTGCGTAATTTGTTTTTTACAACGGTTAATTTTGAGAAAACACGTTCACACGTACAGCTAGTCACAGGTATGATTGTAAACATTTTTAGAGTTTTAAAAACACAAGTATATATAGTGGAATTTCCAATTGTTTTTAACCAATCAATCCATTCATACACAGATTCACTAGTAGCACCATTTAGTTGCATAGCATTTTTATAATTTTTTAAAAGTTTCAGTTCAGTAACTAAATCTTCCTCTGGAACCTTGGAAAACGTCGATAATATTTTTGTGGTGTTTTGAGTTATATCCATATTTAACATGCATGCCATGGCATCAACCAAGTCAAATGTATCCTGCTTAAATCTTAAGTCAATCCCACTAAGTAATTTGTCAAGTAATGGATAGAATACTGTAATTTTCAATTCATCTAATTTTGTATTAAAAAAAGTTTGATTTGATGAATTAGGGTCTAAACGAGTTGAAACTTTACGGGTATTACTTTCTGGAATATTAATATCATGTTTCATGCATAATATAACAGAACTATCAAACATTTGTTTATATTCACTGTCATTATTCCTCATATTAACTAATGTATTTCTCAAACTATTAACATTTTTCATTGCCAATACAAGATTAAGTTTTGGCTCTTGGAGTAAAGTACTAACTTTTAAAATTAACATTAAAATTGGATTCATCATATGCATACCAAAAATGAAATCAAAGGTTTTTAATTGATATAATAGACCAATTCCTTTAGCTCTCATCTCTGGCAACGAACAATTTTCACAGATGTTTTCTATTGCAATTATCAATGCTCCATAATTATTCATAACTGCTTTCACAGCTTCAGCTCGACAAGCCCATCTTGTATTTGAACATGACTTCAGTGTATGGAGCTTATCACCAGTTTCTTTTGCAACTTTTTCCAGTATAGCATGTCGCATTGGACTACTTTCTATAAAGTTATATATAAATTGAACAGTTCCCAAAAAATTAAAAATTAATCGATTTTGTTTTCCTTTAGAATTTGATTTTTCACATATAGAATCAACCAACACCAAGTTCAAACAATGTGCATAACAATGCACATACATTATGCTATTGTTTTGCTCTTTGCATTTTGCTTGAACGCCATTTAAATGTCCAGACATGGTCGATGCCCCATCAAAACAAACAGATAAAACATTTTTCCAGTTTTTATTCATAAGATCCAATACATCACACAGTGAATTAAAAATTGCCTGAGCTGTGACTGATTTTAAACGTTGCAATGACACAAATGTTTCAATTGGCCGATTTTTTTCTTCGTCAAAATAACGAACTATGATAGATATTTGTTCATGATGACCCACATCACTGGTTTCATCGGCCAATATTGAAATAAATGAATCTTGAACATTAGTCTTAAATGTTTGTAAAAGAACATTATGAACAGACGATATCAAATCATTTTGTATGCGATTACTTGTGTACAGTGCATGTTTTGGACCTTCTGTTAGATGTTTTTTTAAAACAGTATCATATTTTGACAGCAAATTAACCAACTCTTTA